TTAAAGCATCTCTTTTATTTAATTGTGTGAACACAGGAATAAACTTTTTTATTCCAATTCGGAATTACTCAAAACTTTGGTGCTACTCGGCATTTTAATGCCCAATGATGGCTCTTTCTAACAGCCGATCGATATTTTTGGCAAATTAACCGATCTTGAACAAAAGTTGAATGTTTGTTCTAAAGGATACTTCCTTTAAAATACGTTTGCGACTCGAAGAAATTTTTTTTCCAATCACAAACTTAAAGCTCAAACGAAATCAATTTGAATTGCAGGCTGCAGAGCACATTTACCGTTGTGGCCCACATTGCAAGCGCCTCACCGAGTTGTTAGCATAATCCAAAGGTGCGACTATGTGCAAGTGAAATAAGCACAAATCCATATTGATTGATTCGGCGTACAAACAAAATTCCGCTAAGTAATTCGCACTTCAAAGTCGAAACGAGATTGCAGAGCGATTGAACGAGCACGTTGACTTCAGTTGCTCAAATATGCCAGCTAAAATGTAATGTGGATGCACATTAATTTTGCCTGCCAAGACGCAGCAGGGTTCACCGCCTTACCGTAGAGGTAGCCAGCGAGAAATATTGCCAACCGACAGGCACACTAAGCAGACGAGCACCCTTGTACCAGGAAAGCGGTTGCTAGCTTATCTCCTTCTATATACCGCTCTCGCCCGTATAACCCACACTCTTGTGGACAAGCACAAACACACTTAACATAGCAATGTCTGTAGCAATATTTGTCGCGGATATGCGAATGTGCAAATTCATCTGTCAACGCTGATGTCGTGTAAGCTTATGAGCTTTAATCCTTTAAATGCTGCAAATATGCGCTGTAAGCACACATGCATATATGCAAATGTGTACACGGATATGTGTGTGTGTGTGTTTGAGTGTTGGATGTGCGCTGGTAAGCCTCAGAGCCGCGAGGTTGTTATTGGTTTTGTCGCTGCACCAGTGCGCATTGACACGCAACGCTGGCTGCCGCCTCATGGAGGGGCGTACCTCCGTGTGTGTGTGTGTGTATGTGAGCGTTTGTTTGAGCGCATATTAATATTGGCGAATGTGTGCCGGTATTTGTTTGCACCCGCTAACGAATGTGGCTGCAGTCAACCGCAAGCGTTCAATCATCGTTAGTTACCATACTTCGATGAGGCGAGCAATAAAAGCGCCAACGCGAATCTCAACAAACACCAAAACACGAATGCAAAATGTATCCGAAATCGGCATCGAGAAAAATGTCGACTGTGTAAAACAGCGGTGCACACGAGTACAACACGACAACAACAGCACCAGCAGGGGCGACTAAAAACAGGGTCGAGTGACAGGGTAGCAACTCTAATAACCAACGTGCAACAAATGAAAGTAAAAATAATTCACAAAAAAATACAGCCAACAGCAAATTGGAGCAAGGCGCGAAAAAACCGAAGGAAAACGCAGATGCATTTGAGCGTGTGTGTACGCTCTTACATGGGGCAGCTCCGAACCTTGTGGAAAATTTAAAGCCACAGAGTTAGTAATTACGTATGTTAAAAGTATATATTTATGTATATAATAGATGTATATGTATCGAGCTCCGCACTTCTTTTATCCGCTCCCACATAAGTAACTAACCATTTCCAACTGAGCAAAAGTCTCGAGGTCAAACTACTAGTATCAGCAGCGGTGAAAACTTTTTAATATTTATATATAATATTTTTCAGCAGTAAAAAACTAAAACCCTTGTAATCTCCCAAAAAACAAAACTTATAGTTTTGCTATAATTTGGAAGCATTCATTTAAGCCGAAAAACGATTTACTACACGTTGCTATTGACTTAATCAGTTCTGCCAGCTTACTGTCGTGTAGCCGTTTTATTTCTGCCATTAGAACTTAGTGCCAGCGCTTTCTCTGCAGGGTAAATGCTGCACTCGTGTTCGCACTCATATTAATATGCATCGGTTTACAGTCACACAAAATCGTGTGAACAAAGATGCTAAAACTAGGTTAGAGTAACAAATCTATGACAGTTCGAGATAAATTGCAAGGCTTTGAATTCGCTCTCGCCAAAGGAAAACGAATACAAATGTGAAACTTAAAGTAGGTAAAGCCGTGTGCATGACGCAACCGCATTTTTCCAGCGAGAAGAGAATATTTACAGTAACATATTGCGGCAGAGAAAACTTTCTTCACTACATAGTTTATTTACAATTTTTGATCAGTATTTATGGCAAACATAACATTTTTTTTTGAAAATATAATAAGGTAAACGGGAGATAATTTATAACGGTATTACGACAGTAGTTGCAAGTCCGATTACTTTTGTTATTGCTTTTAATTATTAGAAAAAATCTGTTATAGTAAATTTACACTTACTCCTACACTAGCTTTTATTCTCTCCATCAAACTTTTGATCTACACTAACTAACATATATGTACATATATACTTAGACATCAATTATTTATAATATTCACGATGACTTCAGTTCTAATTTTCAAAGTATGTTTTTAAAATGCCCTAAGTTTATTATCACCTAGACCACAATATTGAGTATATATGTATGTATATACTTTTATTTGTGAGAACAATTATTTGCAACGCTACTTATAAAAGTCATAGATCACAATATTGAAATCTTTTAAGAGCATTTACGAAATTGCAATTATATTTTCGATCACGATAACAGTAAATGTTTCAATATTTCCGCACCTTTTGCAAAAATTAATGGGACCAAGCATCAAAAAAGCATACATCTGTCACAATGCATCTAACATTTTCCATTTCAAAAGCGGTATGAAACGCTTTTTTGCTTCAAGGAGGGTGCACGTTCTTCCTTGCAGCGTTCCGGGGCGTCCACGAAGTCGACAGTAACTTATAACTAGCTTAGAAGGGCGTTGCACGTAAAGTAGACATCATTAATACACCTGCGACACCTCGAAGGAGATACAGATAGCACTTGCTCGGCACTTTACGAGGAACCCAACACTTCTGCTTGCACCGAATGAATTATATGTGTACCTGTATGCTGAAGTTCCCGCTCGCCAAGTGTCTGCTCTTTGAAAACGTGATAAATGAAAGTGCCATTTGTCAAAATAATGCGACAGCGTAGTCAATAATAGAACAAAACACCAAATAAAGCATTCGCTTGCCCACTATTGGCGATGCCAAAGGAAAACAATAACTCAATGATGTGGAGTGCCTAGATAAAAACGGCCGAGACGGAACGGAAAATAATAAGGTGCCACCAGCGTACAAACTTCTTTGCTGAAACTTCCGCACACACACACACTCTGCACCACTAGGCGACAAAAAATGACGGAGTGGAGGAGTAAGAGCGCATAATACCAGTGGCCCTAAAACAGTTGTCACACTTTCTTTATGCTACAACAGGACATACACAGGTGTAGTGTGTGTCAGTTGCTTCGAAATGTTCAGTGAAATCAATTTGCCAAACATATTAATAAATACCAAATGTTCAAGGTAAATAATAAATAACAATGTGTCCTGTTGTTGGGCAATAAAATGACAGAGAGCGAATGAAGGCATTATAAGAAAGAAATATGAAAGCAGATATATCTGCTATACAGTTATTGCTATATGAACGTTTGAAGAGCATGATATGTTTTTAAGCGGTTCAAGATAATGGAGTTGGCCAATAATTTACGATAATGTGGAACCTCGATGTTATTTATTCTGTAAGTAGAGCGACGTGGAGAAAAATAGTATTCTATACAAAGCAACTAAATGGCATAACGGTAGTTAAAGCTGCTTTCTAAGAAATATAGAAATGGGATTGGAAATAATATGAAGCGATATAAACTTTAAGAACTCCATTTCCCAAGCAATTTGTCTTAACTGTAGCAAAAGCTAAAACTCGCTTTTCCAACTAGCTGAGAGCGCACACCAAACTTCTTATATTTGTACAACAAATTTTTACAATATCACCTCAATGTTTTAAGCGTGGTGTGCTGTGTGTGGGGTTGTCATTATCTCTAAGCATTTTAGGGTCCAAATGATTCTTAAACTCTTCTTGATTCTTAAATAAAAATTTTGCAGTTAATAACAGTAGCAAAAAAGAGCATTAACACCTTTACCTTAACACATAACCTCAAAATTTTTGTGAAATATAACAAAGTTTTTTATTTGCTACTCTTATATTTTACAAAAAAAAATCTCTTTCAGGAAATTTGGAGTAAACTAACTTATTTATGGCCCAAACCCACTGTAATTTTTTTGATTAACAATATATTTCTTCACCTTATTCTGTCTTAATATTGGAAAAGCGGCCTAATTTTCAATTGAAAATGTTCATGTAAAAGCATTTTATTTTTAAAAAAGTCGGTGTTTTTTTTTGTTTTGGTTGCAATTGTTAATTTCTGATGGTATAAAAAATATATAGATACATTACCCCACTAAACGATATATACCATATATACATATGGCGTTACAACCTCTGTCTCATCATACTACATTAGAGATCGTAAAACATGCTTGAATTATTGCAAAAATATTTTACTTGCACTTATCTTCACACACACGAAATGTTTTCTTGTAAACGCAGGAAATTGGACATTCTCAACACTGCTTCACTTCCGAGAGGTTAAGCTATTTACCAATGATAAACGTTTACCCATTAGCAGCTTAGTCGACAGCTCAAGAATTGGCGGCCATGAAGTATAATCGGGCGATATTTGCGAAGAACCCAATGCTTAGCAATATAAATTGCAATATCATATTTACAAAGCTAAGTATGCTAAGGACCACGAGCAAGTAGCTAAGCAAACACAACGGCTAACACGTATTCCGAATTCCAATTAATATACATATATGTATAACCTATATGTATGTATAAAGTTGTAGTTGCGCGCAAAAGAGCGTTTAGCGTCAGTCATTGCATGAATAAGCACTCATATGTCGCCCTTAGAGCTTTCGCCGCTCGCATAACGCCAACCGCGCCAAAAGCTGCAGCAAAGGCGGCGTGACAATCGCTTGGTCGGTTAGTGTGTGCCGTAGGTGTCTCAGCGATCCAGTAGCTTTTATTGATACATTGTAGTTGTAGGTGAGTGTTTACAAAAGACAAATTACATTTTTACCACAATCATAACTCAATGGATGTCCTCAACTCCCAATGTGGCACAGCAATAACAAAGCAATATCAGAATCGGTTTGGCGTGCGTTTGAATGCCGTAACTGCGATTGCTTTGCCCAGCAGAATTTATGTTGCCGGGCTGTGGTTGCTCACCCGATGCGGTCATTGTCCGCCACCAGCGCGCGTTGGAGCCCATTGTGTTGCTCGCATGGTAATCTCGTATCCGCGCGAAAACTGTCAAGATGCGATTGTAATTATAGATTGCTGAAATTTCAAAAAGTCATTAATTTTCTAGTCACCGGCGCTTGTTTATAAATATACGCATACATATACAATATATACTCACATATTTTTATATTTGAATCATTTGCATTTTATGTACTTTCTTATTTCACTATTTTCAACCACCATTGCCACAACCCTTTAACCCAACCAACCGCCCCTTCACTATTTTGCTGGTGGATTTTATTGAGTGGTTGCCTGCAGCCGGAGCAATTCGCTTGTGTTTATGCGTAGGAATGAGGCAATCGCATGCGACCGTAAACGGAAATGCCACCATTACGATAGACAAAGAAGATAAGCGCAAAACGCACAGAAGACAAATAGGCTGGAGAACATGCGAATCAAGGTGACTTGCTTTGCGGTTAAGTGTGGTAAAGTGCTCTCCGAGATTTATGACAAAAATTAATTTATAAAGCATTTATTTATACAGTGGGTCCGATTTTATTCAGAGTTAAGGAATTTATTGCCGCGTTTAGTTACATACAAGTTCAGTTTCAGAATTTGTTTTTCATAGTTTCAATAATATATTGGATCTGGTCACTGGAATATACCATATATAGCACAAGATGCAAGCAGCAACATATGTGGCCAAGTGTAAACCGCTAAATATGTGTTATACTACTAATGTTATTCGGCAAGTGGACCGACATGCAATTTTTGACAGTCTCCGAATGTTCAATGAGTTTATGAAACGATTTGTCATGGTGGGAATCGTCGAGAATTTGTATTCACTGTCAAAGGGTGACTGCTGATCGAAGCTTAGATCGAGCCCGCCTCTAAACATTATATATATTTATATACTACTTATTATTTTGATGTTTTTTTCATGGAATATATTTTTTATACTCTATTAGTGGAATGGGCCAACGGATTTACAAGCATATAGATTTCGTTCTCTTAACAAATGCTTATGTCTCAGCTTTTAGAGAATACCTCCATGCAGGAAGTGACTGAGAAAAGTGTGGTTATTTCGATTGATTTCATTTTCGGAGACTCTTTGACTCTGATGAAAAAAAAATATAAACACCTTTGTATTGTCATTCAATGCTTCTAATTGCTTCAGACATTGTATATACAAGTACAAATATTCGCAGTACTTAAGAAAGCCCATTTTGCACAGTCCGTCGACGAAGTCTATCCCACAAATCAACTTTATTTCAGTGCGTACATTTTATCGGTTCGCATGCATCTAAATGTACTTCGCGTGATCCGTCCGACAGCTACCGAACGCTAATGTAAAGACACTTGACAAAGGTATCAGTGCCGAAGTCGAGTCCCGTTTATCTCATTCATTTATTTTGCATAGCAACAAAGGCAACAAAGGTGAATAAACGTAGCAATGTGAAATTTGAATAATTTCAGCATTAAACGCCGAAAGCCGGTGGTGCTGATGCACCAAGTGTTTCCCTGATACTCAAAGTCAATCTGGCGCGCCGAAGGAGTGAGTCCACAAATACAAACAAGCATTTAACCCTTTTCGATAAGCAGAAACAGTTGCACGGTGATTGTGTATATGTGAGTGCGGAGTTTATTCAAAGGAACTTTTTGCGATTGCAACGACGGCAAGTCAAGCATAAAAAGGATAACACTACGGACCCATTTCCGTTGCATTATTTCGTAATTTCGCACATAACAATTGTAGCTCGGCGGCAAATGCAAAGCCAAGCGCGCACTAGCGTGAGTGCGCGAGGAAGGGCGAAGGAGCTTTCTTGTGTGGCTGCGTTGTCGCTTGACTCGTCATCAATAGCTTGGCTGGTTTGTGGTAATTTCCTTTCCCTGCCGCCGTTCGAACTTTTAACAAGCAGTCAAGTTAACTGGACCACGTGCCGGCTTGTCAGACGAGTGTTTTATGAGTGTATTCACTATGGCGCGTGCATACAACCGCCATCACTCTTGAGCCCGTTTCATCGGCGTTTGCTGCTTTATTCAACAGCGCGCCGCTTAGTATGCGTTCTGGTCGCTCACACAATGCCGCCTATTTTCTATTGTTTTAGACCGCTGCAACCAATTTTTGGGGTTCACTGCATGAAATCACTGGCCGTGCCATGACTGTGCATATTATTTAAGCCTTTGGTTGAGTGTGCGCGCTCTTTCAGCATAGACTATGGCAATTTGTTTTCTTTGTTGAAGACATTGTCGCGAATTGTGTTGTGGTCTTTAGTTAAACTGTAAAATTAATGTTATTGTGCTTTGAGAAAACGGCGTTTAGGGAAGCCCATGCAAAGGCAGTAGGGTAATAACTACGTAGGGCTTTAAAGGTTCAATAAGCAGCGAGATCGAATTTATATAAGTCGCTTCTGCTTTTTCATATAACATATTAGGGTGGAGCGAAAAAAAAGTTTTTTTTGCTTAGCCTGCAGGTAAAATTTGTAGATTAAACAAGTAAGGAAGGGCTAAGTTCGGATGTAACCGAACATTTTATACTCTCGCAAAGTCAAATAGTATACTCGTTTGAGATTTCTTTGTGGATTGGCTGATATTTTCGGTAGAAGGTCAACTATAGGCACTGGGGTCCACATATTTAGTACTTAGGGGCTTAAACAGTTTTGGTTCGATTTAGACAATTTTTGGCCACAAGGTGGCATACTTTAATCGCATTATTCACGCAAAGTTTTATCCCGATACAGTCATTGTTGCCTGATTTGCATAGTGGAAAGTGAAATAATCAGATGGAATTTAAAATGGTGTTATATGGAAAGTAGGCGTGGTTGTAGTCCGATTTCGCCCATTTTTGCACTGTGACATAGAAACATGAAAAGAACGTTATGCACCGAATTTGGTTGAAATCGGTTAAGCAGATCTCAAGATATGGGTTTTCCCCTAAAAGTGGGCTGTGCCACGCCCACTGTCTAATTTTGAACGCGGTTCCTATAAAGTCATCTCATACCATCCCAGAGATAAAATTTAATGACTCTGGCGTATTTAGTGCTTGATTTATCGCGCTTTTAGTAGTTTTTAACAGTACCGTTATATGGGGAGTGGGCGGAGTTGCCACCCGATTTCAACTATTTTCACACCGTCAATAGAAGTGCTAAAAATATTTGCTTCCAGTGAATTTTGTTATTATAGCATTAGCGGTTTAGGAGATATGCACATTAAACCTATTAGAGGCGGGACCACGCCCACTTTTTTAAAAAAACTTTTAACTGCAGATGCCCCTCCCTAATGTGATCCTGTGTACCAAATAACAGTCTTGTATCTTATTGCGGAGCTTAGTTATGGCAAGTTATTTGTTTTTGATTAATGGCGTTTTGTGGGCGTGGCAGTTTTCCGATTACGCCCATCTGCAATACCAACCGTCTCACGGTACCATGAAACATGTCTATCAAGTTTCATAAAGATATCTCAATTTTTACTCGGACAGACGGACGGACGGACAGACAGTCACCCGGATTTCAACTCGTCTCTTCATCCTGATCATTTATATATATATAACCCTATATCTAACTCGATTAGTTTTAGGTGATACAAACAACCGTTAGGTGAACAAAACTATTATACTCTGTAGCAACAGGTTGCGAGAGTATAAAAAAGGAAAATTTTAACATCTAGAGCTAAAGTTTCGAGTTAAAATTTTTATTTCGTAAAAAATGTTTGATAAGTGTTCTACAAGCTGGGAGTCCTCTTTCTGGCCAATTAAAAATTATCAACTTAAAAAAAATTTGTGTGGTCATTATTGGAGTTTTAAAAAAAGTCTCTTAAACAACATGCTTTCCTTGAGCGTTAAAGTAAATTTTCAGTCTAAAGCTTAAACCAAAAAAATTTATTTTGTCCAAAAAACATTTTAACTCGAAATTTACTTTAAAAGTGTGTGAGATGTTAAAAAAAGATGTTTTTCCAAATGTTTTTTTAATTTATAATTTACAAATTTTACTGTCAGGCTAAACAAAAAAAAAATTTTTTTTCGCTCCACCTTATTACATACAACTATATATTTTTTCGTTCGTACTGTACTCCTGTTCAAGCACGAAAGCGGCGCCAAATAAGTTCTTCAGATTATTACACTGTTAGACGATGCAATTTTATACTTTGGACACTCTCAATTCTTCCTCGTAATAATCTGAATAGTCTAGTATTGAACGTCTATATGTTGAAAAATATGAATATGAATATCTTGAAAAATACCCGCGAAGAACGGATTGAGTTAGGATGACTTATCGTCATTTCCTCTATCATTACCAAAAATCAATTCACCAATGCACTCCACACTGTCACTCTCTGCGCGCTAATCTTTTTAAAATGGAAAATCGATTTTCATATAGCATCAATTTTTTTTCAAATCGTTGTTAATGCAACATACAATACATTGCATATAGTAAATCAAAGATACGCTTAATTTTTCGATTTATTTTTTTATATGTGGAGCTGCATCGCACAACCCAATTGAGAGTAGGAAGACAGATCTGTCGTGGACTCAGCAGGAGAGGCCATGTTAGGCGCAGATATAATGGCGCACTCATGCATCGGCATCTACTCGTTTTGGTACACACACGTACCTGAATGCTTATCCGACCTGCATTGGTAGTCAATGGAGCGCAAAAGTATATCTACACACTTATATGTGTGTGTGCTGCGCATGTGATGCGTGTACTTTATGATATGTCGACTTGGCATTAACTACGCGCATCTCATTACGCCATCAAGTAGCAAAGATGGCAGCCGCCCAGATAAATAACATCAGCACAGTGGTTCCAGAGCAGGCATTAACGACCGCCATGTGAAGCTGCAACAGCAGTAGAGATAGTGGCTGCCGGGTAAATCGAATCTGAAGGATATTTACTCCGCATAAAAACCAACTGCTGCTTTTAATATAACATGTGCGTACATGGATATGTTGCATGTACTAAGTATATTCAATTGTATGTAAAATATTCGCATAGTGCTGTGCCAATTCGAATCATCGCCTTTTCGACACATTCCTTGCTCTACAAAGGAAAGTTAAATTTCTGCAAATTAGAACAGCAACAACATGTAAGAGCCGAACCCCGAATTCCTTACAGCGTGAGAGTACTCAAATAGTTGGCAGCCATGGATGAATTAACGGTAGAGTTATTGGAGGTCGACCGTTAATCCACTCTTCAGTTCACATAGTATTTGTAACATAAAGAGCGCAGCTTGTTTTAAGGAAGTGGAAAAACTCGTCTTTCTCACTCATAGTCCTGTGATCACAAAACTGTCAACACTTTTATAAGGTGCCGTTGTTGTAATCCGACAAACGAGGAGACCTGAAATTCGTGAGTAGACGTCAAACTTCTAATGAAGCTTTACCATTTCTAAAAAAACTCGAAAACTGCCATCGCCGTAAGCAAAGACGATCGACGCACCATTTACATCGTGTCAGTTATTATGGTCTAAAAATAGGCCAGA